TATGACTCTGCTTTGGCATTACTTCTAATGTTAGAGTCATTCGCTCGCTGTCTTCAGTAAAACGGTTCAATGCGACGGGTAGTTGCATTTCAATTAAACGCCTGGTAACGAAACATTAAACACTTATCAGCTGACAAGCGACTAATAAAAGGCAGACAATTAGTGTAATACCGAAATCAATTCTGTTTAACGGAAAGCGCGCCTCTCTTGGCTAAAACATTTATATCAAATGGACGGCTTTATGATAGCTATCATTAGCCCTTTAGTTGACTTCGTGCTTCACAGAGAGGAGGAACATTAAATTTACAAAAAGTCGAGAGGGGGGAACAGAAGAGTAATTCACAGATGTAAAAGAGACAGGCAGACACAAAGGTAGAGAAAAAGTTGAGGTGAGCACTGCGAAAGTGGTGGAATATGACATACAGTCGGATCATGGTGGTTTGGAGTCAAGTGTCGATTTGTCTGACATTTTCGCCGTATGAGTAAACGTTCCCCTTGGGTCACCACGTGGAGGTAAGTTTATCGCTCACCCCTAAAGCATGTTCAACTAGAGCTTTGTTTTTACATACACACACAATGAGTTATTGCCCAACTATTTAATCTTAACGTTTTCTATCTAAGGATTCCTCTTGCCTTTAAGTTAGTAGAATTAAATTTTAAGTTGAGTCCTTGGATAAATTCTCTTAGAAAAGAAAGATTGGAGCTTTTTAACGAAGCCATCTTAAAGGGCGGTTTGGGCGTTTGCGACCTTAAACTCAAAATCTTACCAGATTGCGTGACTTAAGATTTTCTTCTCTTTTTAAAAGGCGAACTAGTTTGCTTAAATTCTTAGTGGTTAGATTAGAATTGAAGGAGGACAAAAATGGACACCACCCAAATTTAAATTTCCTTTTTTTTGGTGAGACTTTACTGAGTCTCGTTCAAATTTTGGTCCGTACTTCTAGAAATGGAGTCATATCGACTCTGTTAGGGAACTCTACGCAGATTTAGCTTCAATCAAATCCTTTATCCTTATCCTTATCCTTTTTGATCGAAGTTATCTAATTGATTGCTGAGTTTTGGAACACTTTAAGATTCCGAAAGCGATAATGTGCTATTGATGTGTGAGGGGATACGAACATCTTAATACCAATCGTTAAGTTTAGTCTGTTGTCGTTATTGCATAAATTTTTTGCCTCAAGGAAAATGGGGTGTGGTGGTTTTCTCATGTAAAACTCTTCCTCGGCTTACGTGGCTGCCAAAATTCAGTCAAGTTTTAACTTTTCAGATAGGCCACTAATGAAACCTGAATGTAGGCTTGCATCTGGCTCCTATCTTGTCTGTTCACATTATTTAGGCATTAATATCACAGCTTCATCGTAATTTAGTCTGCCTAATCGTATTTCCCTCCATTTACAAGCATCATTGAGTTAGTCTCATTGGCGATATCAAACTCCAAACATTGACCCCTTTTAGACATTTCACACTGCTCTCGAATCAATGAGCCTTGTTTGGCGCCACTGTAAGCTCTGATGGTGTCTTTATGGAGCAATTTATAGAAATCGATAATCAATAAAAACCTCCTATAAAAATGGTTTATTTGCATTGGGACTGCTGGAGTATTCCGCTAACTTTCTGAAAATACTTCCATCAACCTTAGATTAGCGCCATTTTTATTAGGATAATTATATAATAATACTAATAAACCTAGATAAAGACTTAGAATGCGCTCATTGGTTATTAAGATTAGCTTTGTCAATATACTTCAATAAAGTAATTTAATTGGTTCTAATTTTGGCAGCAAATTTCTGTAAAAAGAACTCTTTACCAGTGAAGTCTAACATTGTGACAAATTCTTGCCAATATGTGCTATTTTATGTATACGAGCGTGCAAATTCCGGAAATGACCCGTGATAACCTAGGTAGGTTAAGTATACGGTGGTGGTTGTAAACTTAATAGGATGAGTTTGGGCCTGACTTTTTACGTAAACAAGGCGAAAACTGGCTATTGCGTGTTGTTTAAATTGAGAAGTTGATTTATTAGCTAGTTTCTTGCAAGTTGGAAAGGGGCGAAGAGCATTTCACCAATCATCAAATTGTGTTTACCAGTGACCTTGGGGGGTAAATTCGTTATTTAATAGCTTTGAACACTATTTCAACTTATCGATTTCCTAGGACTCTAGCAAAAAAAGAAAAAAAGGTTTTGTCCCAGACTTAATTTTCTTTTCCAACATTTTTTTGCGAAATCCAGATGTTCCTTGTTGCAGAAAATATTCCAATGCCAATTTTCCCAAATTTCTTGCTGGATCCAGTATGCCTCAGTCTTAATTATTTCCTGCATAATTTTGCATAGACGAAGTAATTTAAGACGGAAAACTCTGCATACTCACATAATTCCTTTATCTTTTGGAGGATGAGTTGTCTTAATAGCCAAAGTACAAACAATCAGTGATTAATGGTTTCACGCCCAATAGGGTTAACCAGGAAAAAATCATTACTATTGGAACTGAAACACATTGCTAATAATTAAATAATTAACTATTAAATACTATTTTAAATAATAAAATTCCTACTTGATTTATGGGATTTTTTATATCAGCAATAATTTAATTCTTCCTTTAGTATAAAAGTTTGGGTATTTCATTAATTGTGTTCCCATGAATAAAATGAAATAATTTTTCCTAATAATATCATGAAAAAAACTATAGTGATTTTTGAAATTTGCGAAAAATGTCATTTTTAAATATAAATTTTTCTTTTTAATTTTAATAACATTCTCGGTTTCTTATTTCTTGATTTCCACCCTTCAGTTCTCGGATCCAAAGAAATACCATTTATCAGTCTCCTAAGTAAATCTCTCTTCGGTTTGTTGGTGCATCCGTCGGATTCCACAGTGGTTTACGCAACACCGCCGTTAGCCGATGCTATAAGCTGGCCTTGGGTAAGTGAAATCATGGATTTTTCCCACTAACGTCCTCTCCCTCTCCCCAACCCCCCCCCCCCACCCCTACTTTATTTTCAGGTCAACTTCCTGCCTAGGACTTGACCTTAAATAGGGGCTTCGCCGGGGGCAATGAAAATGTCTTTTCCTCCTCGTTCCGCGAAGATAAAGTTGATTTTGTGTTCTAAGGCGAATTCCTGCATAGAATTCTTTTTTGCCCAAGTAATGGCATTACAAAGTGTGCAAGCACTGAATTCCCCGAGAAATTAGGATATAATTGGGAAGTTAGACATCTATGGGAGAATATTTAAACGCGCAAGTTTATTAAACCAGAAGCTTGAAGACTTGTGGTGGTACAGACAGCGGCCTTAATAGGTAGAGCATTATAAAAAAAGTAATGGAAATAGGATGTATTGGCCACTTCTATCCTATTAATTAATGATCGATTTTAATTATTGGAATCCTGCGCAGTTGCCACAATTAAATGCGTTTAATTGTTGTGAGCAAACTGTCATAATGACCAGTACGGATTAGTTTTAAATATTGCCCATTTACAAAATCTCCACCTCCGTTCTTTCCTGCGTAAATAGTCCCAGGTGTTAAATGAAGTGGAAAAATTAAATGACTATGGTTCCTTACACTTTTCAGGCGTTCATGATTAGTTCACTCACAAACTGCAAAGAAAATTTATTTATTTATTTCAAATAGATAGATATCATTAGCCATTTAGCTGACTTCGAGCTTCACAGAGGGAAGTTTTATCAAAGTAGCAGAAAGTCGAGGGGTGGGGATCAGAAGAGCGATTCACAGATGTAAAAGAGGCAGACAGACACAAAGGTAGAGAAAAAGGTAAGGTGAGTACGGTGTAAGGGGTCGAATATGACAACCAGCGGGGTCGTGCTAGTTTGAAGTCAGAGGTCAACTGCCGGCTAATAGACTTTTTTGCCGTATGAGTATACGTTGCCCACGTGGAGGTACGTCTATCGCACACCCCACAAAGAAAATTTATTCCACGAATTAGGCAACTAAAGGAAGTATAAGAAATAGACTTTAACAACTGGAGAAAACCGTCTGGAGCAATCCATGCCACAGACTAACAAAAACTGAGATAAATCCTAGGGCAAAATGGCTAAATCACTTCTCCCAATGGGATAATTTCTATAAATTTGTGCGATCAATATTGATCGGAGAATATTCATTNCGAATATTGAAATATTTATTTATTTATTTCGGGGTGTGCGATAGACTTACCTCCACGTGGTGCACCCTGGGCAACGTATACTCATACGGCAAAAATTTCTATTACCTGGCAGTTGACTTCTGACTTCAAACTGCCATGACCCCCCTGGTAGTCATTTTCGACCCCTTCCACAGAACTCACCCTACCTTTTTCTCTGCCTTTGTGACTGTCTGCCTCTTTTACATCTGTGAATCGCTCTTCTGTTCCCCACCCCTCGACTTTCCGCTACTTTGAAATAAATTTATTTATTTATTTCAAATGGCAGGCGTTATGATAAGTATCATTGGCCCTTTATTTGACTTCGGGCTTCACAGAAAGGAAAATGAAAATCCAAGTGGTAAAAAGTCGAGAGAGGGAAAGAATAATGATTCACAGACGTAAAAGAGACAGACAGACACAAAGATAGAAAAAAAGGTGAGGTGAATACTGTGGAATTATTCGAATATGAAATTCAACGGGGTCATGGTAGTTTGAAGTCAAAAGTCAACTGCCGATTAATAGACTTTTTGCCGTATGAGCATACGTTGCCCAGGGTGCACCACGTGGAGGTAAGTCTATCGCACACTCCCATATTGAAATATTGATTTATTAGCTAACTTCCCAATATAAATTAAAAGCCGAAATTTTTGGACCAACTTTAGCCTAAAAATTTCCCAATTATATTTCTGACTCGTCTTATTGTACTCATAATTGCTATTACTGGAGAGTTTGAGAATATCAGACTGATGCCATCTAAGTTTATGGGGAAAACATTAACAATTTTATGTAAATGCCATTATCGAACCACGTCATTACTGCCATCTGATAAGAGGAAATGTAGTCGAACACGTTTCTACTTTTAATGGCACATTTTCAGCGTATTAGAATATGCTAGTGGTAAGAGACGCTTAGAGGATTTACGCTTGAAATGCGCGCTTATACTCATATGGATGCACTTGATGCAGTAAGAGTTCAATTTCATGCTTTCAGGTCATACATTCGAAACTCGAGGTGGTTATTAATCCATGCAAAAAGCATCATTGTGAGTAACATGATAAGTGCCCTCCTATAGCTAATAATAATGAAATCGTTTATTTTTTCCATTCAGTTATTTTTAACCCTATGCGATATTTGAAACTAGGCTTTTTTATTAGGTTGGCAACTAAGTCATTGCCGATTTTAAATAAGAAGGCAAATTCGGAATTTTTGTTTAAAAATATAACTTTATTCAATTAGATATTGGCCGTTCTTGTCGATGACCTTTTTCCATTGTTCTGGCAGAGTAAAAATTCTCCGTTCGTAAAATGTCTGGTCTTTGCTATTGAAAAACTGAATTAGGTGTGATCCGACATCATCCGCGTTGTTAAAAATTTTACCATTTAAAGAGTTTTGCATGAAACGAAACAAATGATAATCCGAAGGCGCAAGGTCAGGGCTATATGGTGGGTGTGACAAAAGATCCCAATCCAGTNTTCCTTACACTTTTCAGGCGTTCATGATTAGTTCACTCACAAACTGCAAAGAAAATTTATTTATTTATTTCAAATAGATAGATATCATTAGCCATTTAGCTGACTTCGAGCTTCACAGAGGGAAGTTTTATCAAAGTAGCAGAAAGTCGAGGGGTGGGGATCAGAAGAGCGATTCACAGATGTAAAAGAGGCAGACAGACACAAAGGTAGAGAAAAAGGTAAGGTGAGTACGGTGTAAGGGGTCGAATATGACAACCAGCGGGGTCGTGCTAGTTTGAAGTCAGAGGTCAACTGCCGGCTAATAGACTTTTTTGCCGTATGAGTATACGTTGCCCACGTGGAGGTACGTCTATCGCACACCCCACAAAGAAAATTTATTCCACGAATTAGGCAACTAAAGGAAGTATAAGAAATAGACTTTAACAACTGGAGAAAACCGTCTGGAGCAATCCATGCCACAGACTAACAAAAACTGAGATAAATCCTAGGGCAAAATGGCTAAATCACTTCTCCCAATGGGATAATTTCTATAAATTTGTGCGATCAATATTGATCGGAGAATATTCATTAATTTTTTCAGCCCAGACAACGTGTAGTGATTGCAAGTTTCCTGAAATGTATTATTTAGAGAAATTAGTAGGCTTTGTGGGCACGTTGATAAGAAGTATTAATAATGCCTTCCAAACTCTTTGTATCAATGACATCGTCGTTAGTCCGGCTTCGTGAAAAAGTAGGACACTTCAAATATGCCCCAGAATCGTTTGGATCTTTAACAATTTGGTCGAGCCTTATTTCACTGCTAAATAACATCTTAATTCATACCATTCAAGTTCAACTAACATAGCTTTTAAATTTCAGTCGTGAGTTTATTTGAGCCTGATTAAATTCTAACCAACAGGAAAAAATGGCGCCATCTTTGTTTTACTCCAATCTTGTAGTTCTTAGACAAATAAGCAAACAGAGTTGACAAAAATCGCGCATTCATTAACTTTTTTCTGGTTTGAGCAGCAAAAATTCTCATTGAGTTCATTGTAGTAAGTTAAGGTTTTCCGACAACATAGAAATACAAAATCATAAATTATAACAATAGATTTACTTTAAACTATTTTTTATCGCAATTTTTTATCATTTCGCTAAGAAAGAGATTCAGCAATTTTGCAGCCTCTTCAACCAGTAATTTAATTAAAGTTTGTTTTTTTTTCTATTTTTTCGGATCGTCTTCTTGTTCACTTAATTAATTTGAAGCAAAAAATTGCAAACGCGAAGGAAATCTCTGTTACCGCGACGGCATTCTTTGTTCAGAGCACCCGCCTACTAATTACACAAGTTTTTATCCAAATAAACAACGCAAGGACATCACGAGGATCTCACCTATAACCTAGATGAATCATTTGTGGAGGGGGGGGGGGGGGGGGTTCTAGTTCTATATTTTGTAAATACCATTTTTTGTCGTCTGGCTGGTAGCCATCACCCATAGGAAAGTCTTCCATCCCAACTTTCATTCTACATAGTCAAGTGAAGTCTTCACATTTTTTTATTTTGAACTAGCTTGTCTCTTCTTTACAGTGTTCAGAACGGTAAAGGTCTTCTACTGGTATCTTGCTTCCTGCAAAGAATGCTAATTCATATCTCTAAAGGTGAATATGAAAAAGATAGCCAAATTCCCATTGTGACGGAAGGCGGAAAGAGAAATTAAAATTGAAAGTGCTGCACTTCAAACTTTACTCAATGTAAAATTATCATCGATGTGGGTTTAAAATTGTCAGGAGGCATAATGGAAATTTGAAAATTAGGGGGGAAAACATATAGGGAAGTCAAAAAGCTTTCAATGTGTACTAAAATTAACGTAAAACAGGCCAGATACTTACCGATATATTTTTAAAAAGTTGCAATTTTGTGTCGCTCTAGATAAATCTGATTGGAATGAGTCTTGAGAATTTGATAGACGACGGAAAAATGCCATCGAAACCGGGAGAGACGGTACGGTTAAGAATACTCGAACAAACAGGCTCACCTTCAAAGAACGCCGCTCATTTGACCAATCATAATCGTCCGACAACTCCATTGCGTTCACCGTCACATTCACCAAATTCGACAGTCTCGAATTCGACTAATTCTGGTGGTGATCAAGCCTCATCACTGTGGTCCCCACACCTCTACAGAAGCAGTAATAATGGAATATCCAGTGCGGCCTCTGGAGCGCAATTTCCTACATCAACTGGATGCGGTAAAACGGTCCCCTATTTAGTAAGTCATTGTTTATAAAGACTAGAGCAGCCTGCATTGCTTCTCCCTTGGGCCAATTAGGCACATTCACAACCACGGAAATTTGAACCAGGGTTAGAATCGAAGACACCTGTTCAATTTTGTTTAAACAAGTGCCAATTTTAGCAATTTATCATATCCGACTTCTCTTCCCATCTTTCAACCTTATTTACTCCTTGCGTTGAAATCACGTGTGCTGTGGTTTTTTGATTTCCAAGGCTTTCATATATGGCGCGAAATTTGAATTCATTGGCATTTATGATTGTTCGTTTTTTAGTAAAATCACAATTATTGCGGAAAGGAGAATGGGGAAATTTATCATTTTAACCCTAATTTGTTTGAAACATTCAAATTTTGTATAATTTTATAATATTTGATTACATTACAAATCAATTTATTTATCAATTTCCTTCGAAACCTGCGTCATATTCCTGATATTATTAGTTGAAGGGTGATTAAATCCTTTCCTTCTATTGGTAAATTCTGTCAACTCCTACTAATTATCCACTAATTAATAATTAATTTGAAATGCGGTTGACCTTAGTTTTATTTTAGAAAGTATTGATTTTTTTGGAGGGGTGGGGGGTAAATAGAGGTTATAAATCTCTACATTCTAAGCCAAAATTTAACGCCGTTTTAGCTATGTTCGTGTTTTGCGATCCTGCGAGTGCCAATCACAAGGTCAGAAGAAATGAGACAGAGTTCTTCTGCTGATAGGAACTCGACTGCAACCTCGCCAAGTACACACTTGAACTTGTATCTCCTCCAGCCCACTCCCAACCTCTGCTTACTCAAAGATAACTCAGAAAACGCTTCCACGTGCTCCCTATTAGGCCTATCCCAACTAGGAAAGGCGACGTCTTCAATTCCATTATCAATGAGTTCCCCTGCATCTACCTCATCTTTTCATCGAAGCAAAGAACGCTATTTTTTGAATCGTCAACGACGTCTCTTGATGCAAAATCCTCCCTCGAACCCTGCTTCCGAAGATGAAATTGTAACGCCTCGGCACCTATTCTGCACAGTTCTTGATCAGAATCTCAATGTAAAGTGGATTGAAAACAGGTATACATTGGCCGCCTCCTCATATGTGTGTATTCATTATCACTCATGTATAAGTATACTGTGACCATAATCTTAGCTGCTAGAAAGGTCAATATAACCTCATTCATATGTGTTTATTTAGTGGCAATATCAAAGCAAGCATTTTTTCATCCATGACTGGCCAATCTTTCCTTGACTTTGTCTCTCTGGATGACCTTCAGACAGTGAGCAAATTGCTCACAGAATGTAAGTCGCATATTATGTCATATCCGATAATTCGTAATGACACCATTTATTTATTTCAAATGGCAGGCGTTTTGATAGTTATCATTAGCCCTTTAGCTGACTAGGGCTTTACAGAGGGAAGGAACATCAAAGTAACAGAAAGTCGAGGGATGGGGAACAGAAGAGTGGTTTACAGTTGTAAAAGAGACAGACACAAAGGCAGAGAGAAGGTAAGATGATTATTGTGGAAGTGGTAGAATATGGCATACAGTGGGGTGATGGTAGTTTGAAGTCAGAAGTCAGCTGCCGGTTAATAGACTTTTTTGCCGTATGAGCATACGTTGCCCAGGGTGCACCACGTGGAGGTAAGTCCATCGCACACCCCGNCTGACTTCAAACTGCCATGACCCCCCTGGTAGTCATTTTCGACCCCTTCCACAGAACTCACCCTACCTTTTTCTCTGCCTTTGTGACTGTCTGCCTCTTTTACATCTGTGAATCGCT